CTTGTTGCTGGCCTCACTCCCAAACTTCAACCTGGAGGACCAAGAATCATTCTTTCATCTGACCTCTTCCATTCAACCTGTCCTGCCATAGGTATAAAATTCCTGCTTGCATAGGTTTTATTTCATCAAGCCATCCCACCATGACACATACAGTAGTAACAATAATACAATAATGGTAGTGATACTGAATTAACTTTTTATTATTCATAAGTTAGGTTTTTTGAAGTAAACATTCAAAACTATTTGTCACAAAATATCAGTTCTTGATATTTTCACCATTCAGAAAAGGCCTGAATAACAAGCAATAGCTTTATAGTAAATTTTGTGAACTGGATCTATTAAGATACAAATAAAGACTCTGTATTCTATGGTTAATCAATAAAGACAATTTATTAGTCATAGTATATGTCAGCACTGACAAAGAAAAAAATTATATATCTTTTATCAAAATGAAAATCCCTGAAGGAGTTCTCACCTGAAGCCATAATACCAGTGGACAATTACTGTAGTTTTCTTGAGGAGATTCAGCATAATACAACCACCAGAACATGTAGGCATCTGTTCTAACATTCACGTAACCCCAGGCATTCTTACCAGTGTAGCTCTGTATTCCTAACAATGTCAAAAAGAAAATTGTAAAGTTATTTAATTCTTTAACTGTTTCTCTAATGAAAATCATAAGACATGCAAATATGTGGTGTACGTTCCCAAGAAAAATGTAAAACCAAATATGAATATAAAAAATTATAGCATTTCTTTGCTCTAACACAGTACGTGGAAAGAGTGCCATCCACCCAAAAATTGTAGAATTGCCTGGATAAAAAAGATTCTGAAAAGGATCACACAAATGCTTGTCAAAGCCATGCCCCAATTTTTCTAATACGCCCCTTAAAATAAAAATACATGTGGAGAACATTATATTCTGATAAAAGTAGCCTTTATACAAGACATTTGTAAAGTTTATCCCCAAGAAGATTGTACATCTAATTAATGAAGTATATTAATTACTTTGATGATTTTTTTTTTTTAAATTGAGTGGGGGTGCCATATGGAACTCTTACCCAATTTTTTTGTAGAATGTATCTGATAGTTGGTAAAGGATTTTTCTGGCGTCTGGTAAAATAAGAATTTAAAGATAATTCATTTTACGTCTCTTAATTGGATCCTATTTGTTAATCACTATTTAACTTACACATAAACGTAAATCTTAGAAGAATAACGAGTAAACTATAACCTATATTTAGTCTCTAGGAAACAGATGGGTTCTTGTTAGCAGCCACATGTTGTTTTTCTTAAAGAGAGAAAGAGAACTCCTGGGAAATATTTCAAGTCAAACACGAGGCAGATACCTCAGATGTTTGTTATGAATTTCGCGCAAAGTTCCACTAGGGCTATCTGCGCCAGCCGTCCCTAATTTAGCAGCAAAATGCTAGATTGAAGGCAGCTAGTCATCACCACCCACTGCCAACTCTTGTGCTACTCTTTTACTGACGAATAGAGGGATTGACCGTCACATCATAACACCCACCACGTCTGAAAGGGCGAGCATGTTTGGTGGAACGGGGATTCTATGATATTCCTAAAGGAAATTAGAATCAAGGCTTAGAGGAATTGACGATATTCCTAAAGGAAATTAGAATCAAGGCTCAGAGGAATTGACGATATTCCTAAAGGAAATTAGAATCAAGGCTTAGAGGAATTGACGATATTCCTAAAGGAAATTCGAATCAAGGCTTAGAGGAATTGACGATATTCCTAAAGGAAATTAGAATCAAGGC